AAAAAAGTACTCCTGCCGTGACCAGGATTCGAAACTGGGTTACCACGGCCACAACGTGGGGTCCTAACCACTAGACGATCACGGCTATTGGAGATTGTATCATTGTCTGACATTTTAAATTGAAACCATTCTTTGTGGCCTCTTCAGAAAGTATATCAACCTGCTAATTGTTCAGTGGAGCGGAGCGTATCGATCCGTAACCAACAACTCGTCAGTAACGCTTGTTAAGCAAGAAGAAATAGTTGGGATTGCTCTTCAGGTCTCGATGATGAATTTCCTAATAATTGAAGTTATTTTACATCTCCGCTTACTTTGGTGAGATTATTAGAGTGTTCTGGAGACATCTCAATGTATACAAAGTTATGATGAAATACCTATTTAATGTGAGATTAGTACTGGACCTACTGGAACCTATTGAAAGGTTACTCAGTATGAGAGATACTAACCTAACATAATAAATGGCGGAATTTAACATCTGCACATGATAAATCAAGGCAGAAATTGGTTTTCTTTCCAACCAGACATGACAGTATGTAATAAATTTCAGTGATATACATATTTGATGTAGAAAAAAAATCAGTAGTGAAAGCTTTATGATGTTGTGAGTCAATGTTTCAGAGAAATTTTTAATCTGGAGTCAATAAACCAAGCAACGATGTTAGATATGTAAACCATAGTACTTTATTGACAAAAATATGTTATTATAAACTACTAAAGTATATTATTGTAGGTACACAAATGCAGTACCCCAAAGAGACATTTCAAAACTCATTTTAAAACACATTTTTTTCCAGCCTTTTCCAACAAAACTGAAAAATAATCTAATTTATTCGTTAATGAAATTTATCAACTTTCGTTTCATTGATTTCTTCATGTCTTCTTCTTGCTTTGGTTTGATTTGGCGTAACTCAGCAGTTATACCAAGCATCTGGAAAATATAAATTTTTAGGATTGGGTCATGCTTATCAGAAGGGCACCAAGCGACACTTGCGTAGTTTCGAAAGAACGCCTTCTAAAGTTGCAACATTGCAGACACATACTTGATTACCTTCAAATGACAACATTCATTCATGATTGATGTGTATAATTCAATTTCCTCAATTTCTGACAAAAGTCAATGGTTTTTTATGTCGGCAATCCTTCATTATGTATGAATAGTCATCGCTAGTATAAATCATTTGATTCATCTTTATTGCTCTTTCAATAAAAGAAAAATCTGGATCATTTGGTAGAAAGCTGTGGCTCAGTACCTACTCGAGACCCTTGAAATGAACTGTTTCTAAAGTTTGATGATTGCTGAGAATTGTTTTCATCATTGAAACTATCTTGATTTTGCGATTCTGTCCTCCGCAACTATCTGACCACATTATTAGCGTTTTTGTGTTTGGACTGAAATTATTTTCAATGAACTTCTTTAGTACAGATCCAACTTGCTGGGCCCCTCGCCCAGCTGTCCCCTCTTTCCATACGAAGCAGTATCCATTTTTTCCACAATGGACACCTTCATTGTACAGCCAGAGTTGCCTTTTATAGAAAACTGAGTTTGTGAACGATGAACGATCATGAACGAAATTAACCGACAGTGTAACTAGGAAGTGAAAAATGATCAGAACAGAACTAAGTTACCAGGAGAAGTCCAAGCGACATTGCTACTCGTTTCGTTGAATATCTAATCGGAACAAGGCGTTTAGGTCCTTTCTGATTTATTTTGTATCTGCAATGATCCACTTAGTTCCCAGTACAAGGTCATTTTTCAAGCGTTAATACACATTTGGCGCTTGGTTCTTCGAAACACGTCTATGACATCGTGACAGGTGATGAATCGTGGATTTACGCGTATGAGCCCGAAAGTAAACAGCAGTCGATTGTATGAGTGTTTCAAGACGAGCCAAATCCAACAAAAGTCGTTCGCGCACGAAGCACTCCCAAGCAAATGGTCGCCTGGACATGTCGCAACCGAACCACTAGAACAACGCAGAATAGTCAATTCTGTGTGGTACATAACCATTTGTTTGCCAATTGTCTTCGAAAAAATCAGGAAAACCAACCGCCGAAGACGGATCACTCTTCACCATGACAATGCGAGCTTTCACACTACGGCTCAAACAACTGCATTACTGAGCACCCAAAACATCAATTTGATGAATCATCCGCCGTACAGTCCTGACTTGTCACTGAATGACTTCTTTTTATTCCCGCACGTAAAAAACAAACTGAGAGGTCAAAGTTTTTCGACACCAGAAGAAGCGGTTGCTGCATTCAGAATGCATGTTTTGGAGATACCTCAATCAGAGTGGCAAAAGTGCTTCGACAATTGGTTCGAACGCATGCAAAAGTGTATAGATCTTCATGGAGAATATTTTGAAAATAAAGTGATTTTCGATGATTAATATTCGTTTTTGTTCTCTAATTCCGAAATATAAGAGGCAACCATAAGTACCGCTTCTGGGACGATTGGAAATATACTTCTACTGTCAGGATACCTGAAAACATCCTCACTTTCAGTTACATCTACTTTTTCTTTTCCATTTTCTGCTATAGGTTAGGTCCTTCGATTACACTTGCTTCATACAAACAATTATTCATTTATGTAATGAAGATCAGAAAATTTGACAGTAAGTATTGAAGCACAATTACAGGTCTTTAAGGAACTATGGAAAGTTTCAACATCTAACAGTTTGCTTGTTTCTATAAATAGTGTTATAATCGTCTGCATTCTATGACACGGAGAAATAAATCTCTCTTTCAAAATACCATCAGTATGGGCAGCACAACCTGGGATTCGATAAATATATATTTTCCAAGAAATCTCTTTGTGGTTAGTGTTATTTCAAGAGACTGGCTTGATGTCATTTGCGAAACAGAATTTATTATTGCAGTGTTCATCCTTATTCAATACAGGTTCAACGCATGGAGGCCAGTTCTGTGTTTAATGAAGGTGTGTTTTCATCGAATGTTATAGTTCAGTGAACAATTGATCCATTGTTGAGATTTTTAATTTGGAATATGACACCATTGAAAAATTCTCTTTATTCCTTGCAATTTTGAGTCTCTCTGTTTTCCTCTCTTTTCCTCAGATTACTACTCTGTATCGACGTAAACTCTTCATTCAAAAAATCATACTGAATTGAATCAAGCCCACTCTGAAATAACCTATTCCTTCATAGCATTAGCAAATAGACCTAAAACACGTATTCTTTCAACTACAATTCATTCGCCAACGTTTCGGTAAGGCAACGTATATCGCCATCTTCAGGCTACAATGGAAATGAATCAATATTAATATATTTAGGAAAGATAGGTTTCAGCTGTCCACTTCTCCATCTATAAACAAAAAAATGTTTGGAATCTCTCAAAGAAAGAGAGAAAGCATGCAATTCCTAAATAAACTCTTCAAAAAGATGTGTAGATCATACAAATTAGGAATCATCCAATGCCAACACAACATGACGGGAACGAAACATGCTGAAAAATCTCAATACAGATAAGAATATCTTGTTCGAGTTGTTTCTAACGAACTCAATCAATCCTGAGCCAGTTTCCAGAGTCCATTTCGATACCCAAATTTTTTGTCACGTTCGTGGGACATATTAATATATCACCAATAACAATATTGATATATCTTCCCACCAAGCTACGACTAGTACCAAAAACAAGCAGATTGATTTTGAGATTATGAGCTTCAGATGCTGGAATGAGACGTGCTAGATCTTCAGTCAATTTTTGATTAGCAGTAGCAACGTCATTAGGGATAAATGATAGATATATCGTGTGTCATTCGCATACATATGTGAATTACAATGTCTCAAAACAGAAACTAGATCACAAGTGTATACGCAAAATAATAAGGGTCCAAGTATAGATCCTTGAGGCAATCCAAATTTAACAAATTCACTGCTCGATTTTCTCTTCGAAATTCCTACAAACTGTGAACGATCTTCAAGATAGCTTTTTCAATTGAATTTATAGCAGGTTCATTGAACCCGACGAAGTTCAAAATTATCACAAATTATGTGGACATTGTTGAAATATTTCGTCAGTAATGGCTCATGGGAGAAAATGTATTTTGTTTCTTTGATTGACGAATTTTCAATTTTATAGAAATTCATGTTCACTGAAGATCCACTATGAAAACTATAAAAACACACTTTTGTCTATTTTCCACGATAGTTCTATATTTGTTGACTAGTTTCGGTCATTACATCATTTTCAATAACCACCACATCATTTGCAGAGCATTGATTGTACGCTGCTCTGGTGTTCATCGGGTCTCAGAAAACAACAGTATGGAAAAGGTGAATTATAAGCGATCTTAAAAAATAATTAGCAAATACTAATTGTCTTTTATCATTGTCAAACTTGTTCAGTTTGGTCTATAATTCAACCATGAATCGACTTAAAAATTAACAACGCTTGCAAATTATTGTTTTTTATTATCAAAATTCATGCTCGATGAAGAAAGTGCATCGTGCATCGTGCAGTATTTTCAATTTATGGGCAGTTTCGTCGGCCTACTGAGGGAGCTATTCGAAAGCTTGTGACTGATTTTTGAACCCAGTTTACATTATTGGACATCAAACCACCGACACGCATACGTAGAGTGAGGATCGAAGAAAATTTTGCGGCTGTATCCGCCAGTGTTCGTGATGACCGTGAAATGACGATTCGCCGCCGTTCGCAGCAATTGGGCCTCTGTTACTTCACTACGTGGAGAATTTTGCGAAAAGATTTGGGTGTGAAACCTTATAAGATACAGCTGATGCAAGAATTGAAGCCACACGACCTCCCAGAATGTCTAACATTTAGTGAATGGGCGCTGGAAAAGTTGGAGGAAGATCCACATTTTTATCGAAAAATTGTGTTCAGCGACGGGGCTCATTTCTAGTTGAATGGATACGTTAACAAGCATCTGGAGTGAAAACCAGCCACACGCATTGCAAGAGCTACGATACATCTGAAAAAAGTCACTGATTGGTGTGGATGACACTTTCAAGTTCATCATGGAGACTGAACAGGACCAGCAGACAACATTCCTAGATGTACCCACCGAACTCACAAAGTGGGTTATTTAGTACCATCAAAGGAAAATCCACGCAGACGGATAGATACATGCATGCACTATCAAACCACAATCCTATTCCTAGTTTTCAAGTGACCTCAAGATTGAACGGATACAGTGTACTCTAGATCAACAAGGCCATGAAACTGAAGAGTTTCACAGTTCAAAGCGGTGAGGGTCACAAACAGAATGGGAAAGCTCTTGGGGAAATATAAAATCAAAACGGTTTCAAACACACCAAGAAGATACAACAAAGTGTCAGGTCTGCTAAATACAAAAGAGACCGACTGGCAGCAGCAGATTTATATCGCATACCGTGTAATTGTGGAAAGGTATACATCGGAACCCCCAAAAGATCTATGGGAACAAGACTGAAGGAGCATAAGAGGAACTCCAGACTAGGCCAAAACCTCTGAAGACGGTAGTCACTCGCGCCACCGAAACTTCAGGAAGGAACTCCAAAAATCGACGGCCTTCAAGCCAGAAAAATAATCTGGGTTGATCTGGTTATGCATTCGCTTTTTATCTTGTAGATGATGTCTAGTGTTGAGTTCTTATGGTGATTTAACTTTGGCGTGAAACATCGCACTTCAAAAATGTTCTTATCATAATCACGTATGTTAGAATTTTTGAAAAATTTTGAGAGGAAGATGTGGTTTGAAAAATCATTAAATGTATCAGGTAATTCAGGAAAGCTTTGTAAAACTGTTACTGGAGTCAGTTATCCTGTATATGATATTCCTGAATGAAAAGTGATCATTCCGAAAGATATTTATTCAAATTGCTTCATGGAATCTTCTGTGAGGATGCCAGAGAAAGAGGTTCACTTTCAGTTTTCTCCTGAATCACACTTTCGAGAAGAAGAATTTAATTAAATTCGGAACGTCTTCAAGAAAACACTTGTTTTATTAGGAAAAAATTGGTGCCGTTACCCAACCAACCGTTTGTCAGATCAATCAAATTTTATCGTGTAAATCTGTGATTGGAATGTAGAGATGGCGCCTCTCCATACCACCCCCACCACTCCACTTCTGTCATCACCCAGTGGACCAATCAGAAGCTACCGCGTGCACAGCGGGAAATTCAAATTGTTCCCACCTCAACGTGATTTGAGTCAGGTCAGCGCAAGCATCACAGGTTCCGTGTTGTCGGTTGTGAAATAAATCGTTGTTTATAGAGCGATGGGACGTATGAAGCGTTGCCGGTTTCAAAATTAAGCATGAGGGTTAGGAATACGGCACAACAAAAATTGTATGGTAATGAGAGGACGACTCTCAAGTCATTGCTGATTTTTATCAAGGGTAATCACGTGATCCGATTTAATTCAACATTTTATCTCAAAACTCCAACCCAAATGTCATCACAAATGAGCTAAGCAGAATGTGAAATTGAGAAAGGTTGACAAGAATGTGTATACTGTATACGGAAGTGACGTTCAGAAAAATTGAAAAAAAAAAGTTATGTAAGAACTGAATTATAAAAATGAATGAATTTTGAAATTCAAATTCTCCTAATAACCTCAGAAATATGGTCCCGATGAAAATTCATTCTTCTTCTGCTAAATTTTTTTCTGTAGTAGGCGGAATAATCGATCTATTTCTGTTCTAGTTCAACAAGTGATTTCGCAGTCTTCTGAAACGTCAGAAATTCATTACAACCTGTTGTACGCTGTTTCAGAACTTTCTCGGAATAAAAAATCAGAACAAACCTTTTCATAACCCATGGCGTTCATGGGTTGAAAAGATGATTAATTTTTCGAATCAAAATATTTATTGTTTTCATGGAATAATATAGCCTGGTTGTATTGATATAAACCTCAATTGATACCCAAGATAACAGGTAAATCGAATATTTGGTTTTAAGTTTTGACTTCAGATATCTTCAATTTTTAGGTTGTTGGATTTTCAGTAATTGATATTCGTATACTGAAAATATTTTACCGAATTTGGGGATGCTATTAACAGAACGTCTATCGAAGTGTCACTTTACGGTAACTTATATTTCTTTGTCCATATGAGTGGATTCTTTGGATCATTCGAAGGCCACTGAATAACTCAGCAAATATTCATAACAGTGAATCTTCCATTTTCAAAAATCTGTTGGAGTTGGGGTTGAAGTTAAAAAAAAATCTTGTCATATTCGCAGCACTTCTAGTAATTATTTTATTTCTGTTTCAGGGATGGAGTCATGTTTCATTCGACCAGGGAACTATTTCCTCAACTAATAGCATTGATAATATTGTTCAGTAGCAGTCAAGCGGAGGATTACTCAGAGCGAGAGGACATTTATTATAAATTACGTGAGCCTTATTTCAGCAAGACGCAAGTAACTCGAATATATTTGGGACGCGATGCGAGTGGCTGTCTGTGTAATGAGTACGACAAAATATTGACAATCTGCTTTGGAAGGGAGTCTTGCACTACCCTACCTATAGAACTGAATGTTACATCCGAAGAAGTGAGCATTCTGCAAACTCTAATCAGTCATATTGGGCCAGGAGATTTGGATAACATACGCCAAGTGAAAAAACTAAGAATCGAGGGAAATTTCAACTTGTCCAGTATCGCTCCTAGAGTTTTCGAAAACTTCGTCAAACTAGAAAATCTGTCAATATCTTTCAATTTATTTTTGACTGCCCTCCATGAAGACACTTTTGTGGGACTGATAAATCTGAGGCGTCTGTCTCTGATCAAAAATGGATTCACGAACATAAACTATATTACACACGCTCTTTCCACTAGCACCGTACCTGCGTTAACAGAACTATCAATCAATGAGAACAAGTTTTCGAATATTAAGGAGAAGACCTTCGCTCCGTTGAACAACTCCAAGTTACAGGAACTGGATTTGACATTTTGTCAAGTCGAATATCTTCACCCAGACTCTTTGGTTTACTTAAAAAAGTTGAGAGTTTTACGGTTGGGAGAGAATACTTTCAACCTCTCAACTCTGACGCAGTTCATGAACAGTACTTTGAAAGCTGGATTACCTTTGGAGATACTAGATCTACCTAGTACTGGCCTCAGAAAAACACTTCCAAAAGATGTTTTGGAAATAATTGCAAAATCGAACATTACCGACTTGAATCTAGGTAGGAACCAGTTCGATTTCATACCATCTGGAGGATTTCCTTGGATGCCTAATTTGAAGACATTGGATTTAACAGGAATAATGATTGCAGACATAGAAGAAGATGCATTTGCAAATCTTCCGAATCTACGAACCCTTCTTCTCGGAGAGAATAAATTGACGTGTCTGCCGGAAGGGGTGGTTTTGCCCGCATTGAACAGGCTTGATCTGCAGCGCAATTCCAGGGAAAGCGGCTTGTTTCCCTTCGATATTTCCAACGGAGTCTTCTCAGAAATGAAACAGCTACGATATCTGAATTTGAATTTTGATGCAATTTATCATTTATCTAATGACAGCTTCATTGGGCTGGAAAACCTCGAGATGTTGTATCTGAAGAACTCTTCTGTGTTTCATATCCGAGCAGGAACATTCAAGAACCTCAACAAACTGAGTTTTCTCAACCTCGAAAATAATCTGTTTGTTCGGAATAACTACCCGAATGGTATGTACCCAGATGTTTTTATTGGACTCCACAATTTGGAAGTACTACTTCTGGCTGGAAACGGCATCACATACTTCTCCTTAGAAGGGAATCCCTTAGTTTACTTGAAATCTCTGAAGTATCTTGGGCTCGAGAAAAACTATATAGCAACCATAAGTCCAACGCAGTTTGATCCGCTGGTTTCGTTGAAAACCGTCAGTCTCTCCTACAACTCGATTCGATTTTGGGAAGAACCGATTTTTCGAAATAGTTCGCGACTAAGAAGCTTGATTCTGGATCATAATAAGATCTCCCGCATTACACCTGCAATGATGGGGGATTTTTCTAATTTGACAGAGCTCAACTTGTCTTTCAATTCGATCATATGCGATTGCATGTATTTCTTGTACTTCCATAACTGGCTTGAGGAGATGCAGTCAACCAGTTTATTGAAGATTCTCAGCGTAGCAGAAGCAAGTTGCATAAATCCTTACCGAAACCAGACAGTGTACGCCATAGCAGAGTACTTGGAGGCTGCTCAGAATGGGACTATTTACTGTGATACAGAAAAACTATATGTGAAGATCTTGCCCTTTGGGATTCTATTTTTAGTGTTTGCTTTGTCAGCTGTACTGGCATATTACTACAGGTGGCATTTGAAATATTGGATGTTTTTGACAAAATTATACCTCAGTAGGAAAGGTAGAATCAAACGTTCATCTTCTAACAGTGTCACAGAATACAGGTACGACGTTTTTGTATCGTACAGTAATGAGGACCGCAACTTTGTGATAAGACTCGTAACGATGTTGGAAAACTATGAACCGTTTCTCAAATTATGCGTGTATGAAAGAGATTTCCAAATAGGCTCGTTCATATCTGAATCCGTTCTAGATTGTGTAACAAATAGTAGAAAAGTTTTGCTCGTAGTCAGCAATCACTACGTGAAGTCTCATTGGTGCAGATGGGAAAGCCATATTGCAGAACATCACAGACTCTATTTTGGAGATCAAACGAGCGAATATGTAGACGATGCCTTGGTTCTCATAAAACTAGGCCCCATCGATAAAGGTAACCTCACACCAATGCTGAAGTACCTTTTGAAAACCAAAATATATTTGGGGTGGGATGCAGATGAGAAGAAACAGGGAGTATTTTGGAAAAAGTTGAGAGACACTCTCGCTCCCCCTCCCTCTGTTATTGAAACAACACATATGTGAGCTAATCCAGGATGGGGATGGTAATTTTTGGAGTAGGCTCCACCCGTGAAGGCCATAGAGTCAGAGTCTGTACAAAGTTAATGTTAGGCGGAAGGCTGTTATAGGATTAATACGCGAAGATAGGTTTTTTACCTTTCCAACTGAGAAATTTCCATGAGATAATTTTAATTTATTAGATGTTGGGAAATTAACGAAAAAATNATTTCAATTCGCGTTTTTCTGATATTTCATTTTCCTGAATTTTCTGTCAAACCTCTATTTTTGTATAATGTGAATGAGACCCTAAAATTTGATGTTAAAGCTAGAAAAAACAGCAGAAGTGCGAGAAAAAGTGATATTGCAGTTTTCTTCATTCTTGAAATTGTTTACTGAAATGGTATTTTGCTTTTATTATGAAAATTACTGTTTTTCAAAAAATTTGCATTCAGATTATAACACTCATGTTACAAAAATCACTCCGTAAACATTCTGATAACATTCTTCTTGGAAATAATGGTTTTGAAAATTTCTGTGTTCAAATAATAATTAAGAAATATTATACACATCTACATATATACATATTCTTCAACATAGAATACGTCCGAAACTACCGAAATTATGGAAAAAATAATATACAACAATCATCACCTATCGAAAAATTGTGTAAAAAACTTCTCAAGCTTTCTTGATTGACAATGTTTTCAAAAAATGGGCTTTCAATTCATATATCGATCATTTCATGTTTACTTTGTCACTCAATAAATGTGTATTTTCCCCGAGAGTTTTTATTTGGGCCAAATCTATAATATTGAGTTGAATCTCTTCCCCAATATTGTTTCAAACAAAACGCAAAAAGTTTATAGAATTCAAGTTTCCATTAATATCGATTTCAGAAAAGTCTCCATCGTCAGTTTATAAATTGAAACCTAAGATTGGTCCCAATTTGAAAATGAGTAATGTGAAGATATTCAAAAACAATTTTTAACAGCACAATATTATAGATAGGACTATTGAATAAATCATATGAAAAACTCTTCTAGTCCTTTCCATCTGTGGTGACTTTTGAAAATAGTATTGTTTTGAAATAATCCATATTACAAATGGACAGCTGTTTCTTCACACATAATTGGAATAATCTTATGATCACTGAGTTTTTATTCAACATAAATCAGTTGAATTCTCTCCATATCACGACAATAATATTCAATGTAAATAAATTATATGTTTCTTGGAATTGCAATGAATTACAACAAATGATCAAGTTTTAATATTTTTCCAACTTTTTTACTTTATGAATTATTTCAATTTTAATTAATGTGATGACGAACAATTATTCCTTGAGATCAATTAAAACACATATACATGTACAGTGATCACAGTTAATTTTCGTTATTTTTGCAGAAACAAATTTCGAACAATATGAAAAAGGCATTCAACGCGTTAGCATATTTGAAAATGATTTTCAAATTTGATCAACTTTTTCTAAAATAATTTCTGATATTGTCAATAATGGATTTGCAAATATTATAATTTTCAATAAACCTCGTTCAGGAAGTTTTTTTCTGAAACTTATAATGAAGAAGTATTTCTTATGGTCGAACTTACTTATTTCTACAATAGAAATGTAAATTCATATTATTTTCAATATACGTGTAGTTTGTAATAGATAAGTGATTATTATAGAATCAAACGAGTCTTTAAGTTTTGTTGTTCATTGAAAAACGATAATGTTTTAGCACACCAATATTTTATATCTAAAATTATTAAAAATCTCATGAAGTAAACTTGCCTGCGTTTGATTATTTTTATTTACCATGCCCACGGCAGTCGATGAAAAACTTCAGCTCTGCAAAGGTATGTATATTTTCAAGATATTTTTCAATCTAGCTGAAAACTCTGGTTCGTATATTAACTATTTTGTATCACACAATCACATCCAAAAGTTGATTCTCGCATTTTTTGACAACAACATTCTCGTTTGTTTTCTTAAGATTGTTTACAGTAAATATACATGTACATATATAGAAATGAACAGTGAACGAATAAAATACATCTTACGAGGCAAAATGATCTACCTGTGTGTAAAGAATGAGAATATTGAATGTGACATTGAATGTGATTCATTCTTTAAATTGAGTACTAAGATATAAAATCAAAATAGCTTCTTTTGAAAATAATATGAATAAATAAAACCAATAAATCTATTGAAATAAGTACTAGATATAGATAAGAATATAAGTTCAAACTGGACATATTCAAACAGAATATGAAGAACCAAAATAAACTAATGTATTGAATGGATACTAAGTATGGATAAAAACATAACTTTGAACTAGACACTTTGGATATAATATAAATAAATCAAACAATCAATGGATATAGAGATTTTAATCATGAGTATTCCAGACTACAAACAAATCAATACACAATATATATCCACAATCGTGAAATTAAGTATTTAAATTTATATTTGTCTATGTATCTCAGCTCGTGGTATATTCTTGACGAATAATTTAATCTTTGTCATAAATTTTTTGAGATTTGTTTCGCATCTTCAATTTTCAGGAAGAAAACTGTAGAGTTTTGGTCTTAAATACCGGAAGGATTTCTGCCCAACTGATTCGAGCATTAATGGTATGACGATACTATTATTTCGACGTGTAGCATATTTATGGTGATCAGTAGTTGATTATGCTGTATAGCAGTAATATTTATAAAAAACAGCTGCCTGGTATCAAACATTCCAGATTTTGAAAAAAGTAGTAGGATAGTCGTAACCTTTCCGTAGGATACATCTGATAAATCTCTTCTGCATAACCTCAAGGAAATGTAGATGAGTTTTTGACACTCCACCCCAACCAATTATACCATACCTCAGATGGGGCTCTACTGAACTCTTATATAATATACTTTTTTGTTTTTGATTGAGGATGTTTGCTATCCGTTTAAATTTGTGAAGTATGCAACGTAATTTTTTAACTATGTGGTCTATGTGTCTAAAATTATTCCAAGATATTTCATTTTCTTTGTGGGTTTGATGACTTCCGTATTGGAGATATTGATGTCATATTCTGATGAAGGTCATGTTCTAATTTCTGTTTCAAATTAAACAAGTTTTCGTCTTCGCAAAACAGCACAGTATCATCGGCGAAACTCAGAATGTTGGAGGTGATGTCTTGTAGGAAAAGGTTGTTCAAGTAAATATTGAATAGGACTGGTCATAACACCGTCCTTTGGGGTACACCACATGTTATAATTTCCTCTCCACTTATATGATTGCCCACTCCAACCCTTTGCTCTCTGTTGTAAAGATAACTTTTGAAAAGATTATTTGCTATACCTCTAATTACCATATCGTTCAGAAGATTCAATAAGATAGAGTGGTCGACGGTGTCTAAAGCTTTCCTAAGGTTTTCGAAAACAGCAATAGAAGGTTTTGATTCATACAAACATGAATAAATTTGCTGGGTTAGTTTTTTATTGGGTCTTGCGTGGACATATTCTCTCTGGAGCCGTGTTGTGATTCTAACAACTGATGTTTTTCAAGAAACATATTCAATCTCTTTTGAATAACCTTCTCGAAAACTTCAGCGAGACTAGTTATGAGTGACATTGGTCTATAGTTTGCTACATCGATTTATTCTCCACTTTTATATATAGGCGTTATAACAGCCATTTTGAGAGCTGAGGGAAAACATCCCTCCTCTAATGGCATATTCACTAGATGTGCTGGTGGTTTCGATATATAATCAGACACCAGTTTCAGATATTCTGCTTTGATCCCATCATAGCTAGGAGACCTTTTATTCTTGAGTTGCGATATAATATATTTTACCTCGTTTTCAGTTTTAGGTTGCAGAAAAATGGAATGGTTACATATACTCTTCCTTTCTGAATAGTCTGGATTTATATTTATATTTCGCGCCAAATCTCCACCTACAGAAATGAAATAATTGTTGAATCTATTTGCTATTTCAATCTATTTTTTGTTTTCATCAAGTTGGTAGGTGTAGGATCTTGGTCGGTTAATATTTCATTAACATTTGCCACATTTTTTTTTGAATCATTACCCCCATTTTCAATACAATTCCTAAAGCATTCCATTTTTTGCTTCCTTGCTTCTCTAATGAGCTCATCTAATATTTTCTTTTGAATCTGATATTTTTCATGTAAAACGATATCATTGGGATTTTTTCCAAGTTATCGATACATGCTATTTTTTTTGTTTACAGAATTGATCAAGCATCCAGTTATCCATTTCTTTCACTTTCTTCGTTTGCTGGTCAGTTTGATGTACCTCTTACATTCCTCTAAATTAGTTTTCATGATATCTGTGAACTTGTTTACTCCAAGATCAAGATTGTTGCAATGTAAAATGCCATTCCAGTCAGCATCCTCCATTTTAACTCTGAACTTTTTTTCATCTACTTTCCTATAGTACTTGATATCATTTTAAACATTATTTTCGTGAGGTATGACAATTTGTGCTAAGGTTGTGAAATGGTCTGTAACGCATGATTACAAAGTGATTGGTAGGATTGTGTCATAGTCCTGGTTTTTTGTTTTGATAAAAATGTGGTCCAAACATGTGTTAGAGTTTTTTTGTACCCTCGTCGGTGTGTTAATCGCGGATATATATCCATATTCACTTAAGGTGTCCATGTATTGTTGAGTTTCACGAGAATTCACTAATATAGCGATATTCATGTCCCCTATTATTAAGTTATAATAAAAATGTTCGGTACTACGCTTCAAAATAGTATCTAGCTCATCAACAAAATGTTCAATTTCTGTAGATGATGCTCTATAAAGAGCATTAATTTTAAACACGGTGTTGTAAAAATGTTCGTACTACGCTTCAAAATAGTATCTAGCTCATCAACAAAATGTTCAATTTCTGTAGCCGGTGATCTATAAAGAGCATTAATTTTAAACACGGTGTTGTCAACATTCATTTTGACTTTCAGAAGAAAGCTTTTATTCATTTCGATGGTCGTGTGTGAGTCATACATTTCTGA